TCTTGCAGCTTTTATTTCAGTGTAACAAATCCCTGCCTCTCACACCCTACCTTTAAGGTCTGTCCCTGTTCTGTTCCCAATTCCTCCTCTCTTCCCACTTGATTTTAGTGGTTACCATGGCTCCCTCAGCACCCGGCACAAAGACATGTGAGGCAGACTGTACCAGGCTGTGTGGAATGCCAGATCAGGTGGAACAAAAGTGTGAGGGTGGTTGAAAGATGTCAAAAGAGAAGGCAGTGTCAGAAGATGTGGTTCTGAGGCTGGAGGTGAGGCAGTGTGAGTGTTTGGAGAAACTTTCAGCCACGTATCACCAGCATGACAGGCAGAGGCACAGSACTTGAATACAAACCAGCAGATCAYAGTGAGTCTCTCTGAACTTGCCCMGGTGAGGATGTGCCTCCAGACACAAACCAGAGTTTGCCAGAATATAGCAATAAAATTCCACTGATGAAAAATAAATTATTCCCTTTTAGACTTTTCCTTAAGTCTGACTTCGTTAGGTCTATTACGAAACCATAAATACAGAATTTACTGCCTGCATGTTAGAGTTTGATACTTGCTCTTCCCTACATTGCATTGTGTGAATGCATTTTGTCCTCTGCAGACTTGAAAGGATGAGATTTTAATTTGACACACATTTGAAATTGTTACTTCTTAAGAATCAGACAAATTACTGGCTTCCAACCAAGTTTAAATAAAAGGTTGAAAACGAAGAATGGGCCATGCAAGCCTGCTCTCCAGCAGCTCTCTTGAGCTAAGCCTCAGTCAAAGATGGAGTAAGCCACCAGATAATCCTCAACTGGACACTCAACTACATGACTAAGTGATAAAAACTCCGTGTCCCAGGAACCAAAATGTGTCTTAGATTCCAGGAAATTACCTAACTCCACACAGGGTGTTGAGATTTCCTCTGCATAAGTAAAAATATTTTTCTTAGCATTTAATTTGACTGGAAAGAGTGTTATTGGCCTGCATGAAGCTAAGACGGAGCAGTATCTTTCTGTCATTTTGTGGCAGAGAAGCATGGAACAAACTGGGAGTAATAAAATCTTTCTCTCTGTACAGATTGTGAAATACTTTCCAGTTTGCCACTGCAGATGTCCCTCTATTTCAATGTTTACTTCTTCCCGTTTTGGTGGCTTGTCACAGTTGTCATACTCTACCTGAAGGTGAGAACAAAGGAAAGTGCTGGTTTGTGAATGTGATTACATCAAACATCTCCTAGGATGGGATGCAGCTCACTGGAATTAGAGGTTATTGCATTGATTCGGGAATTCCTGGAAATTGGAGGTTCAGGAGGGGTTAAATGCTGACAGTAGCACAGAGGATCTGCATTTGATCACAAACAGATCAAATTTCTACTCTCTTCTTCCCTTCCAGTATCCAGATTTGTCAGATTACTACAAGTTCATCCTGGTCACCATCATGATCCTGGTCTCCCTGACAGAGCTCATTCGACTCTACCTGGGCTACGTGGGCAATCTCCTGGAGAAAGTATGTTACCAGATGTACATATTAATTTTTGCTGTTTGGAGTTTAACTGGCAGGCATTGAATTTAAGAGAGTTAAGTTGAGGAGATGGTTATTGCTCTTAAGTTGCACTCTGCATCTTCGGTTTCTTTGGCTTCCAATTAATTTTGTGGATTTCAAGTGGCTTCCACTTAATTTTGTGGATTCCACTTAATTTTGTGGATTCCAAGTGGCTTTCCCTCAGAGGAGCGCTCTCTCACTCCCTAAATCTGTTTTGTCAGAAAATGTAAGTACCCTTAAAAACACAGGATATGAAAATACGAAGCCGCCTCACTTTGCCTTTCCACATTATGTGCTGGCTTTTGAAAAATTAAAAAGAAATGTCTTTTCTTCACAAGATTTTGGATTTTTTTTTTTTTCATTTCAGCTGTGTCATGGTTTTTTGCTTGGTTTTTGTAAAACCATGACAAGCTGTCAAGTTTTTAATAGGTGATGTCTCCCTCTTACAGGTGCCTGAGCTGGCTGGGTTTTGGCTCCTGACTCTCCTCCCGCAGTTGCCTGTCATTCTCTTCTTGCTGTTCAATGAAGGTCTGAAAATCCACTCGCTGGAGCGAGCCGTCCACATCGTCTTTGCCGCCTTCCTCGCCTTCCAAGTGGTCGCTGCCTTTTTCACGCTGAAAAGGATGGTGAACGCTCTGGCCACTCGTTTCCGCCTTACCGAGTTCCACCGCCTGGAGGAGCAGCGCCCCGGGCCCGGCATTTCCAGCCTGGGCGCAAGGAGCAGCTCCTGGGGCTGGTAGGGCTGCGGATCGCACCCCGGCCCAATGTTGCCACAGTTATCTTCCTGTTTTGTTGGGTCATTCATCGCCTTCTTGCCTCTGAGGTATTAAAAAATAGATCTTGCTCAAGAGCCAACATTAAACCTCAGAGGTTGGAGCTCCTTCTGCAAGGAAAATCAAAGCCAATTCCATAACTGACATGAGTGGACTATTTGTGGACTGTTACTGAGTAGATGTGGAGAGTTTTAAGTGTTACAAAGTTGTGGCATTTTAAAAACAAGAGAAGCCTTTTCTCTCACTGTTTGCACAGAATGATTTTGTTTACAATAAATCTTTTCTACACTTTTTTTGTGTTGGCACCAGTTTTGTATGTCTTCCAGGTACGTTGCATCCATTTAATATCTGATACCTCAGCTGAGAAAAAAACAAACCCAACTCAAAATGAAACCTAAAACAAAAACTCCCAGAGGTCTTTGGGGATCTCCAAACCCCAAAAAGAACAACGATAAGATAGTGAACAAAGACTACACTTTCAGAGATGGAATTCCAGATAATTCCAGTACTTATAAATTCCTTACTAGAGATGTAATTTTAAAGGTGTTCATTCCACAAAACACTTATGCTCATCTCCTTTGGCTTAGTTACACTTTTAACTATCAATTTAGAATAGTTCCATTTTCCTAGATGTAACAGTAGCAAAATTATGGCCATTTAAAAAAATGGTTTATGTCACTGAAAGGTAGAACCTGTTTTTCTCAAGCCAAGGCATATTCCAAGGTTCTCATTCCTGTTAGGTGTAATGAATTCTAGACTACCTTCTGCAGTTTTGGTAATGGCTAAAAGTTCACTTTTTCTGTCAAGGAGAGGTGGAGATCAAACGTTAAAATAAATTTTTCATCTGAATCCTTTGAGTCCTTTAAGCAGGGCAAGAGTTGTCAGTTTTGAGAGCTGGCACAAACTTCCAAACTGCTCAAAGGATTGGAAGGAAGATCAATCTAACACAAAAAAATGTACCTTATCCTTAAAGCTGTTGAATATTTAAAGCTTAGAGAACTTCAATTGGAAAAAAGGCATTAGCTTTGTTTTTTACCAAAATGGTTAATTTTCCTTTCAATCCATGAGTGAATGGGACAATTAATTATACTGTGTTTCCTTCATTTCCTTATTATGAAGCATATATTTTCAGGGAACCTATCAATTTGTTTTTAAGCAAACTTTGATCTTGGATTGCCTTTTGCACAGAAAGAGAGGATTTCTGTAAGAGTCTCTAAGAGTGTCTTTTAACAGTTAATGTAAAATGTTTAAAACCTTAGAATCAGAGCCTGAGAGGGAGACAGTGAGGTTTAAACAGAAGTTACATAATTTCAAAAATACTTTTGCAGCATTAGAAAGTCCTTGTCAAAACATTCGTAACTGATGCAGGGGGAACACTGGGCAGATTTTTAATGTCAGACACAGTTACCCTACTGAAGAGTGCTGAAAAGCAGGGCTGAAGGAAGTTTTTTAACACCAAGTACATGAAATACAACATGAAGCTGAAAAAGTCAACAACACGCTAATGCTGGCAACAGGGAACTGGCCTCCAGGCTAAGGCCATGAGATGTCACTCAAAATCCTTGCTTTCAGTGATAAGGAAATGATGCATTTGGAAGATCAAATTGCTGTGCAAGACAACTGTCAAAAGCCAAAGGCACAAGGACACACAGCTCTTTGGTATGGGGAGGAGGAATGGGGAGCATTTTGATGAAGTGACACAAAAATAGATTTAAGAAAAAGTCTTATGAGTAGAGTGCCTGGAAATGCTAAAGGTAGAAACCACCTGTGAGCTAAATCTTCAGCAACATCTTTGATAAACACAAGATCTCTGCATTCTCTCTTCTCAGCCTTCCTAACAGTCCTGCTAGTCTATTTTTAATTTCATAATTATCGGTTTAAATTTCACCATTACTATCATTACTTCCACTAGAGGAAGCCTGCAAGCACCTAAAACTCACAGTGCCTGCAGCTGCAGTTTTCCCATGAGATTCCTGCTCCTCATGCACCCAGAGACAAGAGAATAAAATTACAGCAGTGCTCAGGAGAACAGCAACAAAGGGAGAATGACACTGAAACTTGCCTTCAGTTTCCACATCTCACAAGAACTGGTGAGACATCAAGCAAGCAGGAAAAAGAATATACAAATAAACCACAAGAATTTCAGATTCAGCAGAGCAAGTATTTGGGGTTGGTGGTTTTTCTACCCCCTACAGAGCAGATGGAAACAGGTGAAAGGAAGGAACCCAAAAACACTGGAAACACGTGGGAGTTCATGGAGCAGCAGTTTGTGCCAAGAACACCCCAAAATGTATTTTTGATGCTCTGGCTGTCTCTTCACAATCAAGATCTTGGAGTGGCTGAAGCCTAGGAACAGAAATCAGTTATTTTATTTCATGAAGTTTACTGCTAGGAAAGGCCAACAGCCAATTTTAAGGGAAATTTGTACCAACGTATGTCCTTTAACTGAATAAAAGAAATTAGGAATGGGCATATTATCTTAAAATACTCTATTTTAGGTTACTGATCAATTTGAAGATGAGGAGTGTTTTGTGATCAAGGGCATAGTTGGCAAATGGCTAATACCTGAACTTGGCCTATGTCCCTTGTCTAAAATAGAGTTTGTAAAAGGATTTCTCTTTCTTTAATAGTTGCAGGACTTTCGAGAAGGAGAAATTAAATTTAGAAGAGGCTTCAAATGTGTACCTTACTGAAGCAGATCTGATAAAGCAGACATGAGATAAGACATAGATTTGATAGAAAACAGACAATTGATAAAAAAGAGGGTACAGCATTAACCTTTCCATATCAACAGCTCACTCTTTACAATTGCTGAAAGAATTGCACCCAAAGGAATGAGATCATATATTTCACTCTTGCTTTTGTCTCTGATAAACTGGATTGGACTTAGAGTTTATCTTTAAAGAGTTGATGAAGCGGGTAGAATTGGCATCATTACATGGTCTGATAAGATGGCCAATAGCTGGGAAAGGCTGCAGAGATCATTTATTTTGAAAAACAAATTTTGTTTCTCCAGGACAAAAGTCAGACAGCAACAATTAAAAAGAATTTTGTTCGGTGCTTCAAATAAAGATAATAAAGAGGTTTGCTATAGGAGGCAGGCAAAGCTTTATGGAAGGTCCAGTTGATAAGAGCAAGAAGAATTTAAACTATAATGAAATAAATAGGTTTGAGAAGTGTAACACTGGGAGAAAATGTCTATGTTGATGATTGGTGCCACCAAAGATGCCCCTGGGTACATGAAGGAGAGAGTTTATTAAAAAGAAAAAATAAAAAAAAAATTACTAGCTTGAAATCTTCAGAGATTCAGCAGAAATGCCATTCCCCCAGCTAAGCAGCAGCCTCAAGCACACAGTTCCACATTCATTAAACACATGCAAGTTTTGCAGTTTCTTATGGAAAACAAGCACTTTTTCTTCTTCAGATGGCCCAAGGTTTGAAAGTAATACAGTCCCTGGGAAGCATTAAGTGGCCAAGAGGCATGAGCACAACAGAGGAACTGTAGACAGAATGAACAAATCTGGCAGGTAGCTGCAAGCACAGCTGTGCCAAGGCCTGTGGCTTCCCTGGTGAATTTGGGAAATATTAATGACTTCCTTGAGAGCTGCCTTGAACATCCAGTATTAGGGGAGGAGTTCCTGCAGTCTATGAAATAAGGTACTGTTATTCTTTCAGGGACAGAAAAGACCTTTCTGTATTCACTTTGGTGGGCCCATGCTGTTCCCAAGTAAAATAATCAAGAAAAAATGCTTGAGCACTTTTTAGTTACCATTTATTGGTAACTAAATTTATTAGAAATGCACCATAAAAAGAATATCAGATTTACCTGTTTCTAATCACCTGTACTGCTGAAGCTTTGACTTGAGCCTCTCATCCCATGCAGCCACTGCCTGTATCAATCCAGAGTGACTCCTACCAGCCAGTGTGTTTTGAGCTCCTTGTTGAATTATAGAAAGGATTTTAGCACAGATATCTCTCCTCTCTTTGTTTTGCCTTTGACCTTGTGGCCTTTTGCTCAGGAAATATAAAATTTATCACAAAATTCAGACTTGCAAGAGCAGGATACTTGAGTATCTCCTGCAGGATATTAATGTAAAAATCCACAAATAAAATACATAACTAAAGGGCTCTGTATTTGATTTTTTTGTTGTTGTTGTTTGCTTTTAAAATACCAGAATTTGAAGCAATTTCTTACCACAACCAGAAATGCAACAAATCTTTTATAAAGCAGCTGGGAGTGGGTGAACACCAAGTGTTTGAACAACACCTCCATTTTGAAAATCCTGGAGAAACCTAAATCTCACTCCTTTTTTTCTTTTTTTCTTTTTATTTTCTTTAATTTCCAAAAGATTCATTGGGGTTTAAAAAGCATGTATAAAAACATGGGCTGGGGAAATATTTCAAAGCGGCTCCTTTTTCCTAAGTAAAACTGCATTAAAAAAAAAAGAAATTCTCCAACCCTGCCAGGCACTCAGGAGTGGGTGTCAAGGTGATAATAAAAGGACATTGCCTTTTTTTAGGGAAATACTGATAAGGCAGCAGCAAAAGGATTAACCAGGCTGGCTGCAGTCAGGGACAGTGAAATGTGACACAATAAAAACTCAGTTATTGAGTTAAGGACAGCCCTTTGGACACAAAAGACTGAAATGAAGAAAAGCTGTGGATTGATTTGTTCTTCAGTATGATTTTTTTTCTTTCCAGAAGCATGAAATATTACAGTGATAACAGAGACTGGAAAAYAAGAAAAGAAAACCAACCAAGGAAAATTCTCTCTAAGGGTTTATTTAGGATGCACTGAAAGGGAAATTTCTTTCTAAACATCACATGCAGCAAAGCAACCCAACAGGTGTGAGTAGGATGGGACACATTTGCCTGTGTTTGCATTTCTCAGAGTTACAGAATCACTGAGACTGGAAAAGACCTCTGAGACCAGCGGGTCCAGCTGATAACCCAGCACTGCCAGGCCCACCACTGACCCCTGTCCCCAAGCCCCACATCTGCAGAGTTTTTGACACTCCATCACATCCCTGAGCAGCCTGTTCTGCTGCCTGACCACCCTCTCAGTGAGGAGATTTTCCTTAATATCCAATCTGAACCTCCCCTGGCATAACCTGAGGCTGTTTCCTCTTGTCCTAGYRCTTGTTACCTGGGAAAAGGAGCTGACTTCCACCTCTTTCAGGCACAAGCTCTGCCAATTGCTCTGCAAAAGTAAAATAATAATTTCTTACTCTTCTTCAACTTTGGGGAGCTCAGGATGTTCAGAGAAGTTGTGCAGTGCTTTAA